GTGAGCTCTACATAAAGATCTGTTAAATAAAACTAGTATGGTAATACACATTAAAATCATGATAATAAATTGTGATAATTGTTTATTTGTTTTATTTGACAATATGTATAGTTTGGATGAGATGTGTATGTACCCCACACAAATACATAAATTTAACAAGTTTGGTGAACTAATACCTTTCATTCATTTTTGTTCTTATAAATCTACCATTTTTATTTTCTTTATTATGTTCAGAAGGAGGATAACCCAATTGCAATTATTATTTTAAAGTTGCTTAAATGAAAAAGCCAATCTAAGAACCAACAAAAATGAGATTTTAGTACATTATTAGAAGTTTGGGATGGCACTATAATAAAAAAGAAAGATCATAGAGATATTAAATTGATATTTAAAAAGAAATGAAGGGAACTGGGTACTGATTTTTCCAGCATAAAAATGGAACTGAGGAATAGCAGCATTTGATAGGGAAAATATAAAAATAGAGTAGAACTTTGATATTCAAACTGCCATCACCTTCATTACCCATCAAATCCTTATTTGAATTTTGCTGTTTGGCAGTTTGAATTTTGCTATTTGGCAAAAACCTAGAGTATTTGTAAAGGTAAATTTAAAAAATACTAGGTTTATATTCAACCAACATTTAGGCCAATCTTCTATCTACTATAATCAATGAAAATTGATAAACTGAAATCATTTCCCTAATGAACTTTAAGATTTTTATTATAATTCAAAGTTGACCTCATTAGGTGTACTATATTGTTTTAATGGCAGGAGAGTGAACTCAAAAATCAAAAGATTTTCAAAGTTGGAAAAAAAGGAAGAGGATGCTAACCAAAAAAAAAAAAAAATCATTATCTATAATAGCCCATTCTTCCAGCATTTGAGTTTATCACAGTTCTATTACAAAATCCTGATTTCATTTTTGATATATTATTTACCACACCTTCAGTTCTAATTTTTTATGCTGGAAAAATCATTAGAAATGCATATAATTTGACAATGTGATTATTAACAGGGAAGAAATATTTCTACAACTGGTAACATAAAAAATAACCACTCAAAGACATGCTCATAATAAAAATTCCAAAAAATATCAGCAGCTTACACCTTTTTTGTAAGGAAAGCGTCTGGTTTTCTATTCAAACAAATCCAGAACTGAGAAATAGGGAAATAAATCTGATATAATGGCCACCCACTAAAAGCATTGAACATACGGTAGACTAGGTTATATGTGAACAGATTACACTGCACACCTGGCTTTAGGGAGCTGGAGTTCACGGTCATTACCACTTGTAAGCTTTGGGGTTTCTCACAGTTATTTACACAAATAGTTCCTCGCATCATTAAATCCTTATCAGAACCACCACTCTCTGCCTCTGGCCGCACAAAATGCTAAAGAAAGAAATGGGAGTTTAGAGCTTCATCTTCGGGAAACAGAGAAGTTACAATTTTCCTTCTTGGAGACTTCTGGATAGAGGCTGAGAATCTCCTGAACACTTCAGTTTCTCTCATTTGTCCTTTGTCCAGAAAGGTCATTGTCTCCTCCTCAGGGGAAGCATCATGCCATGAGACATTCCATATAAGCTCTCTATCATAATCAAAGTGAAGGCAACTTTGATCATAAATGCTCAGAGAATATTCTCCCATCTGTTTCTACCTTCAATCTCAAAAAGGTTTTCTTATATCTGGATAATAGCCCTATCATTGCTCTCTCCTTGTAGTATATTTTTGGGCATGGCAAAAGGACAGCTTTGATAAGAAGGGTGAGTAGTATTTTCTCATTTTTCTCTTCAGATTATATGATACCAAAAAAATCAGAGATTAAAATGGGACAGAATAGCCTAAATATAAAGATTAGACTCTGAAATCTGTACCTGTTTGATTTTGTATAAAATGCTTAATCTCATTTCTCCCTCTGTCAAATTGGATAACAATAATTCTGACTTCTGAGATTGTGCTTTGTATTAAATGAGATCCAATACCTCTTGAGGGTCTACTCTGCACAGATCCTGTTGTCCACACTGGGGATGGCACCATAAAGAAGACTGCCAAAATCATCACTGAGTTCACATTCCAGTTGGGGAAAACAAACAGACATGTACTTTATAGCTAGGCAGTGCAGAAAGCCGTGCAGAGAGAGGAAACTGGGTAGAAGGCCAGAGAGAAACCCTGAGTGCTACAGAGGATAAAGAGGATCAAGAAAGGCCTCTCTTGAGACATTAATTTGAATGGAGACCTATTAAAGCAATGGAGCAAGCATGTACATATCTGGAGGAAGAGAATTCCAGACACAGAGAACAGAAAGTGGGTGAGATGGCAATATGCTTGAGGTCTTCAAGAAATGATGAGAAGGTCACTGAGGGTGATGTGGGAGAACAGGGGGAAATGAGAGCTGAGAAGTAAGAGGAAAGGAGTGAAGGTAGATCATGGAAAGCATAGCACAGACTATTCAAAGAGGTGGCTATTATTAACACATTTATTGCCTATATTGAAGTAGGTTCAGATTAGATAGTTTCCCTTAATACTGTCAACACGTCCTCTTTCAGAAAAACACCTGTTGGACAGGTTATGACCTCATCATGCACCCACAATGCTGTCAGTGCAGTATTTGGGTTCTTATTGACCTTGAACTTTCAGTAAATGGCAATTGCTTTTCCTCTATCCAAGATTTTGCTCATCCTAATGAAGATGCATCGTTGGCACTTGCTTCCTGCATGACTGGGAAAGCAGTGGAACCAAAGGCCCCATCCAGATGGAGGAGCTCAGCAGAACATCTGCCTTGCCTGTCTGTCACCTCCCTACCTCCTGCTGTTAGGCTATCTGCCAGCCATTGCAGCAGCTCCTGACTCAAGGAGCTGCCTCTTCTGGTGTTCTCTTGGAGCTCTGACTGATTACCTGCACCGTCATTCCCAACAGCATCGTGCCATCTTTCTTTAAATTGCAGAAAGAGCCTGTTGAAAGTCTTAGTCTCCTAAAGAAATGAAACGCACTATTATTTAACCTCCAAAATAGAATCTATTAAACCAGAGCCATGCCTGCAAACTTCATATCAGCTAGCATTAAATAGCTAATACATTGCATTGATTACCTGGATGACATATATTGGTTCGTATGACACTGAAGAAAGGAGACAGCTCTAGACAGCATATTCATTCCTCTCCATCTACCACTAATCTAGACCAAATCGCCCTCACCTCTTGCCTGAATAATTATCATAGCCTCCTAACTAATCTAGTCTAAACTACCTGATTATTACTAATACTAAGGAGCCTCCTAACTGACCTGTTTCGACTTCAGCTCCTCTTTGGATTTGGAATGACATTTTTGAAACCAATTCTGAGTTTTGTATAAAACCTTTCTATAGTTTCTCAAAACTGTTAGAGATTATCTATTAGAGACAGATCAAGATTCCTACTAGCACCCTTAAGGCAATTCATGATCTAGGTACTGCCTACCTCTCAGCTAACAAAACTCTCTCTCTCTTGCTCCTTATTTTGGAGTCCTATTGGCCATTTTTCTTTTCCCCCAATATGTTATGGTCCTTTCCATGTTAGGACTTTCTTTTAATACTGTTGCCTCTTACTAGAAAATTTTCCCAATCTCATCTTACTTTACCTACTAAGTTATGACCCTTCAGATCCCGACTCAAACACCACTTTTGGGGGGGTACCTGCCCTACACTCCTAAAACTAGTCCACTACCCTCGAGTCCACCCTATTGTTCCCTCTACTCTAATTTTGAAGCTCTTATAGTTTATAATTACATGTCTCCATGATCATTTTAACTATCTACCTCCCTCCACTAGACTATATTCCCCAGGAAGTCAAAGATTGTGCTTGCTTTTCTCACTGCTTGAATCCCAGTGCTCTGTGGCTCCAAAGCTAGTACTTATTCCACTCCTTTTTCAACATATTTGTCAAAGAATAAATGGCCATTTAAATCTAAAAGGTTCTCAATATAAAGACTGCTTTTCAAAATCTATGCCACTTGATTCATGTTATATAGGAGAAATAACAACATCCATATTTTCAAACATGAGTTTGAGCTAAGAACTGAACTAAGAGCTGAAGCATTCATAATAAATGTTTTGAGTATCACTTTGCAAAACCAAAGACTTTTTTCTATCTTTTTCTTCCCATTGAAGTTACATCCAAAAACCTCAGTTTTGAACACAAGGAGCAAAGTATTATAAAATGAAACTGGCTAACATTCTGCTTCTGTGACCTTACCTAATGTGTTCAGTGAAAATGAACATTTACTTGCTTACTTCTGAGTCTAATTTATCAACTTCTTTTATGAATTCTGCTTTTGGAGTTTTATTTAAGAACTCTTTGTTTAAGCCGAGCTCATAAAGATTTTCTTCTAAAAGATTTATAATTTTACAGTTGGATTTGTGATTTATTCTGAATGAACTCTATAGAAGATATGAGAATAGCATTAAGTTTCATTTTTTGCCAATGGATATCCCATAGTACCAACACTGTTTGTTGAAATTACTATATTTCCATTGAATTGCATATGTACCTTTGTAAAAATCAAATGGTATCCATACAATGAAATATTGTTTAACAATACAAAGAAATGAGCTAACAAGCCATGTAAAAACACATGAATTTTAAATGCATATTTCTAAGTAAAATAAGCCAGTCTAAAAAGGCTATATCAGTCTGATTCCAACCATAAGGCATTATGGAAAAGGCAACACTACAGAGACAGTAAAAAGATCAGTGGTTATGAGGGATACAGTAGGGAGAGACTAAGTAGTTAAAGCATAGGGGATTTGTTTAGGGTGGTAAAACTATTCTGTATGGTACATAACTGTCAATACCAAACATTATGCATTTATCAAAACGCACTGAACTTTATAGCATTTTACAGTGCAGTTGATACATGCAAATTTTATTTGATAGGTCATAGGATTTCAGAATGGAATTCAGAATGTGACAAAGCATTCCAACTGTATTATAAATGTACAAAACAACCTCACTAAGGGAGTGGGGAGAAAATTGTGCTGACCTAAGTAGCTTTGGGAATGAGTGGAGGCTATAAAATTAAAGTAGAAGAAATAGTATTTAAGCACTGTACTCCAGTTGATAAAGTCATTTGCCATGTGAGTACCAGTTTGCACTTCAGCTATACATGTATACTTGAATTAAACAACTAAGGAAATGAATGGTTTCTCATTGTTGAAGTGGGAGTTTATGGATAAGTGTGGAAAGGAGCTAGAGTGATCCATATGGTAACAGGATTAGAGATGGAGACCTCAGTGTCAACTCATGCTTAGCCTAATATAAGTATAAATGGTTATATGTGGAAATAGTTACAGATATATGCTTACAACATGTTAGTCCTATACATATATTTCCTGGATCCATCAGTTAAGAGGGCCTAGAAGCAATGATACCCTAGTATCAATGAGCACACCTAATGCTCAGGTCTTGGTTTCTAATACCATTCTCTGAGAAAAAAAAAACCAAGGCCCCTTGGAGAAATGGATGATTCTAAGCCTAGAGCAGGAAATACACAAGGTAGGCTCCGAATATCTTCTATTTCTGAAAAGTAAGAAAACGCTGGGAAAAAACAATGAGATTATATGAAAGAGAAACAGGAGCCAATTAAAACATCTCCCAGTGTCCAAAGTTGGAACAATTTGAGCAACAAAATAAATTAAGTAGCATTAGATTTATAACTTGAAGTATGAAATAAATATCCATACTGATAGAAATAAATTACTTCATAAAGAAATAAATGAGAAGAGACAAATCTTCCATGTAGGAGAATTCCAAGTAATTGTTTTGCATAGTCTGTCCTCAAGGAGTGGGAGTATCACTTCCCATTCTTTAAGTGTGGACTGTGTATAGTGACTTCCCTCCAAAGAGTAAAGTGTGGAAAAAGGGAAGAAATGAGTCCCTTTACAATGGAGAAAGCTGACAAACTCTACTACAGGCACATAATCAAAGTCAAAACCAACAGTGAGAAGTTATGTTGAAAATTATACTATGTGTCCTTGATATGATGTGATAAAAATGACACTTTTTTACCCTCTATGGTTTTCATCTCATAACACCACAACCCAAATCTAATCATGATAAAAACATCACAAAAATCCCACTTGAGGGTCCTTCTACAAAATATATAACCAGTACTCTTCAAAACTGTCACAGTCATCAAAAACAAAAAAAGTCTGAGAAACTGGCAGAGCAAAGAGAAGTATAAGGAAACATGACAACTATATGTAACGTAACCTGGATGGAATTGTAGAACAAAAAAAGAACTTCAGGTAAAAGCTCAAGAAATCTGAAAAAATAGACCTTAGTAAATAATAATGTATTAATATGGATTCATTAATTATAATATATGTACCATACTAATATAAGATATTAATAATAGGGAAAACTGGGTGCAAGGTATAATGAGAGCTCTATAAATTTTTTCTGTAAATCTAAAGCTGTTCTAAAAATAAAGTTTATTTTTAAAATAAATAAAATGATTTAAGTACAAATAAAATTAAATTGTCATATTTGTATTGGTCTATTTCTGGCTTCTATTCTGTTCCATTGATCTATGTGTTATCCCTTTGGTAAGTCCGTACTGTTTTTATTACTACAGCTATATAATAAGTTTTTAAATTGGATAGTTTGATTTCTCTAACTTTATTCTTCATTCTCAAAATTGTTTTGACTATTTTACCTACTTTGCCTTTCCATATAAATTTTAGGATAAGTTTGTGTATATCCATAAAGTTCCTGCTGAGATTTTTATTGGAATTGTTTTAAACCTAGAGATCAACCTGAGGAAACAAATCAAATCTTTACTTTGTTGAGTCTGTCTATGAATACTGTATGTCTCTCCATTTACTTAAGTTGTCTTAGTCTTCTTGTAGCAACGATTGTACTTTCAGCATACCGTTTCTGAAGAAATATTATTAGATTTCTCCTAAGTGGCTCACTTTCGGAGATATTTTTAATGGTATTGCTTTATAAACAAACACAGACATATATATTTGGTTTTCAAATACACATTGCAAGAATTAAGAAACGTGATTGATTTTTGTGTGTTAATCTAGCATCCTGTTATCTTGCAAAACTAATTAGTTCTGGGAGTTTGTATTTTGTTTGCTTGTAAATACCTTAGAATTTGGATTTACTATGTAGACAATCATAGTGTTTGAAAATAGGGATAGTTTTGTTTCTTCTTTTTCTACCCATGTTTTTTATTTCTTTTTATTGCCTCTTGGACTGGCTAAACCTTCCAGTAGAAGGTTGAATTGATGTGATGAGATAGGACATATTTTCCTTGTTCCTGATCTTTAGGGGAAACAGGGTACACGATAATAAATACAATTTGTGCTATAGGGCACTTTTTTGTGGATACCTTTTATAAAGTTAAGGAAATTCTCTTCTGTTTTTAGTGTTTTGGGGGTTATCATGAATGGATGTTGAATTTTGGAAAAGCAAATATTTTTCTTGAATCATTGATATGATCGTGTGAGTTTTCTTCTTTAAAGTGTTAATTCAATGGACTAACTTGATTTATTTTTAGATATCAAGCAAGTCTTACAGTCCTAGGATAAAACCCCCTTGCTCATATAGTAGTATTTTTTCTGTGCATTGTAGATTTAATTTGCTAATATTTTATGGAGGATTTTTGCATTGATGTTCATGATGGATATTGTTTTACTGTTTTGTAGTTTTCTTGTGATATCTTTGTTTGGTTCTTAAATCAGTATAATACTGGCTTCATAAATCAGTTGGTAAGTATTCCTTTCTCTTATTTTCTAGATGAAATTATATAGAATATGTGTCAATTCTTCTTTAAATGTTTGCATTCACCAGCAAAACCACCTGGGCCTATAGATTTTTGTACAGGATGTTTTTAACTATAAATTCAACTTTTAAAAAATAATAGAGCTATTCAAGTTACCTATTTCATTTTAGGTAAGTTTTGGTAATTTGTGTTTTTCAGGGAATTAGTACATTTTATCTGCTACTAGATTTATGTACAGAGAATGATTTGTAGGATTTTTTATTATCCTTTTAATATCTGTAAGATCTGTAGTGATATTCACTTCTTTATTCCTGATATTGATGTCTTTCTTTTTTTCTTCCATTTTTGGTCAATTCTTATTAACAGCATCTGAGTACTTTTGACACTTTTCATATTTTCTACAATAAACATTTGATAATTAGAAAAATATTATAATAAAATTTTAAATACCATTTTAATTTTAAATTTGCTTGTTTCTACATTTAAATTGTGTGTAATAATGCCTACAATATGAGGTTGATACATGTATTAAAAATGATAATGCATATAAAAGTACTGTGTAATTTATATTCATGTTAACTATTATAAGATAAGCAAAGGAAGACAATTGTGTAATTGAATTAGAAAAACATAATTGTTTTCTAACAATTAATAAATTGCAACATTTATATTATGATTGGGAGAATTTAGGAGAGGCTTAAAATTTAAACATGTTTTCCCACAACATTTAGAATGAGGTTGTCCACGATTAAACATGTGACATTTATTTATTTAGAAATTTTAATCACATCTGAAAATCACTAATTACTACTAAAAATTCAGAATCTTTGTAAGCAAGAATAAAGAACAGTGAAAGGTAGTCAGTTGTTTCATTGTTTCTGAAGCATCCAATATAGTTCTTTGAAAACCAGTCACTTAAACTGAATCCTATAATTGTTGGATATCCAACAATTGTACAATTGTTGGATTCACATTATTTTGGTTCCCAGGTAGATTACTTGTGAGCCTTAAACATGTTGGCTTATTTGTCCTACATTTCAAATTAACCAAAACATAACTAACATAAGCCTTTCCTGAAAAGAAATAGGTCAGATTACATACTTTTAAACTTTATATTATTATAATAGCATGAATTTAGAGTCAGATGAGTGGGTGGGGAAGGGGAATTATATTTTCCTCTAAAGCACTTAAGGCGGGCTGGTACAACATAAATCCAGTTACCATCTCTATTCCACAAAAATATTTGCTGAATTCCCTCCCCTGAAACCCACAAACACTTTTACCTGGCATTTGGAAGATGCCATTTTAAGGAGATAGTGATCCCCTAAATACTGAGCTCTGAGAGCCCCATGAATTGCAAATAGGAATGAAGCTGGGGAAATGACAAGATGAAAAGGACTCCAATTGTAGGAGAAAGAAGAACATTAGATGAAGCCAACACATTCATCCATGATTTATGCAACACCCAAGCACTAACTCTCAAGCCAACAGCATACTTCCAGGCTATATGCAACTACCAAATTACGATAAATTAAGCTGAGGCAAAAATAAGGCCATAAAATGGACATTTTACAGTGGCTATTGACTACGATGTTCAGTTTGCATTAAATCTTCTGAAACAGTGTTACTTTGTCAACTGAATTAGTAATTGGTGTCTTCTTGGGAGGGAAATATATAAGGTTTCAAACTGCATATATATTACTCACCACAATTAAAGTCAGTCGCTGTAAGAAGCTGCTATCTATATGCATCAGACTAATTATTTTGTGCTTTTTTACTAAGATAATGGGACACTGCTGCCAGTGGGCAAATCCCAATCATACATTATATCACACTTTGTAGCAATTTTGATGAAAACTACAGGTGGAGAAAGATTATAATGGGAACATCTAATTGAAATTCATCTCCATTTTGCTTCAGATGGAAGACATGCTGCTTGCGCCCTGAAACATATTCAATTTCATTCAAATTGGATGCAGATTTTTCAGACAAAACTAAATTCAAAAAATATATATATTTCAAAGGGTCCTGGAAGAGAGAGACAGGAATACCATAAACGTTAACCGATTGGGTTTATTAGAGCTGTTGCTTTCTAAGGTAGGAAGGGAGAACTAAACTCCAACTAAAGGTCATTATATTTGTTAGATATTTCACTAGCAGTTGGTAACCCCAAGCTTTCACAAAGACCATGAGGAATCTCATGTACAATCCTTAATAATTTTCCTAAAAGTCCAAAGTCAGGTCTCTTCATCAGTGTGTAGGTCTCTACATTCTCCTTCTTCCATATCCTGCCTCTGGCACAATCTCCTAGGGCAGAAGATGGAGATCTACCAATATGATATTGAGTAGGAAGCCATCTTTTCCCTGGGCCAAAAAAAATTTATACACATACACACACTCATACATACATTTGAACACACACACATGTCCAAACATGTATGTGCATACACATTCAAATATGATATATGTGTATGTACCTGTGTGTGCATTTAATACATCTCCCTCCATGGCTATAAATAAAAACACATCCCTCATTGGTAATAAGGTTGATAAAAGGCTTAGCAACCTACCAAATAAGTACTCAATAAAATATTACCTATAATGGAAAATTTCTGAGTTTTTTTTGCTAAACATTAGATAATATACTTCTTAAGAACAATTGATTCATTCAATTTTTAATCATTAATCCATTGATTCACTCAACCAACATTTAATGAGCATCAATTACATGCCAAGTACTTAAGATGCCAGAGATACAGCAGTAAACTCAACAGTCTCAGCCTTTGAGAAGCTTTCTTTCTTGTGGGTAAGAGGCAATCAGATAAATATGTCACATGGTGATATGTGGTATGAAAAAAACAGTAACAGTATACAGTGAAAAAAGAATGATGGGGTATGGATACTATATGTACATATACATACTATATATATATAGTGATTATAGATGGCCTCTCTTACATGTTATTTTAAATTTACCTCTTGTTTTGTTTGTTTTTTATTGATACATAATATTTGTACATATGTATAGAGTACACTTAATATTTTGTTACATATAGAACATACAATGACCAAATACTTAGAATATCTACCACCCCATGTATTTATCATTTCTATGTGTTGGGAACATTTTAAGTTCTCTCTTCTAGCTATTTTAAAATATAAAATACATTGTTGTTAACTATAGTCACCCTACTCTGCTATGGAACATTAGATCTTATTACTTTTAACTACAATTTGTAACTGTTTGTAACAGTTTGTTTTGTAACTGTTAACCAACTTCTCTTCATCCCTGCCATCCACTATCCACACATACTTCCCAGCCTCCAATATGTATCATTCTACACTCCACCTCCTTGAGATCAATTCTTTTCGCTCCCACATGAGTGAGAATAGATGGTATTTTGTCATTCTGAGCCTGGCTTACTTCACTTATCATAATGACCTCCAGTTCAATCCGTTTTGTTGCAAGTGACAGGATTTCATTATTTTTATGGCCAAATAGTATTCCATTGTGTGTGTGTGTGTATATATATATATATATTTTACATTTTATTTATTAGGGTCTTATTTTAGTAAGTACCTGAATGAAATGAGAGGGAAAGCCAGGCATATAACTGCAGGGGAGCATTCTACTTAGACGGGATGGCACATGCCAAAGCTGGGAGGCAGGAACATGCTGTAGCTGGAATGTAAGGAGAGAAGGGGAGACTAACAGGAGATGAGGTCAGAGAGGGCTGAGGAAAAGGTAATGCTGAGCTTATAAGCTTTGGTAATGGCTTTGGCTTTTGCTCTGAGTAAGAGGGGAGCCACTGGGGGTTTGAACAGAGACGCAATCTGTTCTTTCATAGGGTTTTCTCTGGCGACTCCGTGGAGAAGAGATGGGAGAAGGGGAGAAGCAGGGAAGGCAGTTAGGAGGCGTCTGCACTAATCCAAGGGTAAGATGATGGTGACCCAAACCAGATGCCCACCGTGCAGGTAGTAAGAAGTGGACACATTCTGGACATATTTTGATGGTAGAAACTACAGAAGTTGCTGATAGATTTATGTTGCAAGTGGGGGAAAAAAAAAAAAAAAGAATCAAAGAGGGCTCAAAGTTTTTGCCCAAACAATTGAAAGAACTGAGTGACAGGTAAATGCCCTAGGACACAGTAGATGTTCAAAGATTTTAGCAATTAGTAAGCATATCAGAATTTTAGCAACCCCAATACAAAACTCTGGATTCCAAAATACTCCAATATCTGAAACTTTGTGAGCATTGACATGACACCACAAGTGGAAAATTCCATATCTCACGTGATGGGCCACAGTCGAAACACGAGCATACAGCACACGGTTTATTCAGGATTCCCAAAAGTAAAATAAAATTACCTTCAGGCTATATATATATAACATAAATGAATGTTTAAAATTGAATCTCATCCTCAAGATATCTCATGATGTACATGCGAATATTCCAAAATCTGAAAATAATTGAAATCTAAAACACTTCTGGTCCTGAGCATTTTGGATAAGTGACATTCAACCTGTATTACTTTCATGTGGAAAATATCCAAGTAAAATGCAAATATATTATCTAGGACAGTGTAAGCACCATAGTTATCCTGTATTTGTTGTTTACTGTGCCAGGTTGAGTCCTAAGTGTTTTTATTCTTCACCATATCTAAGCTTCATAACGTCTCCATGGGCTGACTACTTTCCATTTTATGGTTGATCTCACTGAGGCACAGAGGGGAATTTTGTCTTTGTATTTTATTTTATTTATTTTATTTATTTGTCTTTTATTTCTTTTTATTGATAAATATTTGAGTGCCTACAGCATAGGCAATACTTTCATTGGTGTTAGGTGAACAAGAATGACAAGGTCATTGTTTTCCTAGGTTTCTTTGACTGAAATAGACATAAATAAGTAAATAGATTTATAAGATAATTTTACAAAATAAGTTCTATAAGAAAATAAAGAAGGTAACATGGTAGAGAGTCACATGAGGGAGTTGGCAATACAGAAACTTTATATAGAGTGATTAAGAACATTCCATATGAGAAGGAACATTTGAACAAGGAAGACCTGGCAGATAAAGCCAGCCATGGGCATACCTGAAAGAAGAGCATTCCAGGCAGAAGAAACACCCACACAAACGTCCAAAGGCAAGAAGAAAGGTTTACATATTTGAGGAACACAAAGAAATATACGGGTCCCCTGGCTACACAACCAGAAAATAAAGGAGCCAGAATTTGATCCCAAGTCTCTCTGGCTCCAAAGCCTGAGTTTCTAAGCACTATACAACTTTCTTTTCTAATTGTCTTTATTTGAATACATTTTGTTGTAAGCTGCAGAAAGGCAAAACTAATAATCTTCTCCACCTATACCATGCCTACTCCACTGAAGTAACCAATGTGTATATATTTCCTTATGTTTCTCTGGCTCATAAACTTACTGAAGCTCCCTACGCTTAACTGAACAAGTTTAACAAAAACTTTCTCTATTTGATTACATCTTCGGTGTGTGTATGTGTGTGTGTGCTATATGTATCCTACTTTGTACCCAAATTTTCCACTGCTGATAGAATAGGAAAAGACCCTTGCCTCACGAAAATCACAAGAGAAGACAAAACATTTTAGCATCAGACAGAATACTTTCAGAAGTTGCTGAATGCCTTGAGGGAAATAAACATGGAAATGTGGTATATAGAGTTTGGGGAAGGACTGTCCACACAGAGTAGACAGTCAAGGCTTTCTGGAGAGGTACTCAGGGTATTTTTGAGCTGAGATGTAACTAATGAGAAATATCCATCTTTTGAGAAGTGATCAGGTAGCATTTTTGGGCAAAGAACAGAACAGATGCAAAGGCCCTGAGAGAAGAAAGAGCTATTTTAGTCCCAGGTGAAAGAGGAAGGTGGCTGGGACTTGGATGATGGCAGTGATGCAGAAAAAAAGTGGGTGAACTTTGGGAAATGTTTTAGATGTCAAATAAACCTGGCTTGCAAATGGATTCGATGTGGTAAAAAGGAGAGTCAAAGCACCTGGATGAAAAGATGGTACCCTTTACAAAGAGGAAGATGTGCTGAGAAAGAACAAATGGAGAATGGGGCTGACGGGACCTGTTAGTCCTAAAGCAGTCCTGGAAGTTTCAGAGTCCTGAAGAGGTTAGATATTTTGAAAAAGGAAGGAAGTTTGAACAAAAGGATTTTTGTGTAAATGCCCTGAGAACATAAGGAGCACAGAATAAAGGGACAGGGCTAACAAAACCATGAGCAACTCAACTCGGGGCAAAGACTGAGTTAAGCTAACAGGCATTGACTTCTCAGCTACCTGCCAGAACTACTCTACGTGCTTCATACTCATATAAACACACACATTTAATCTTTACAGTAATCCCATAAAGTAGGTTCCACTTTTACCTCCACTTTACAGATGAGGAAACTGAAGCACAAAAAGGAAAAAGCACTTTGCCCCAAATCAAAGAACTAGTAAATGGTGGCACAGAGATTCAAAGCCAGGCAGACTGCAGGAAGAGCCAGCTCTGGTCACACCTCTGTTCCAGGGCATCACAGAAGCCAGGAAAGGGTGATCACAGAGCCCCAGACAAATGTCAGCTTTTTTCCAACTCTGCTGAGAATCTATCTAATCTATAGTGTAGCTTCTTTCTAGAAAGGAATGGGGGCTTTATTCAAAGTAGAAAGGGAAACCTGAAAGAAAATTTTAGTATAACCACTTTTTGCACTCCAGTATGCCATGACCTAAGCCAAATCACAATTTTTTTTTACCTCATGGGCTCCCTGCTTGTAAGTTAGAACAATGAGTAACAATAGCTCACTGTCATCAACAACATGCCAAACACCAAGTGCTTTGCTTGTATTTTCATTTACTCTTCACAATAGATCTATGAGACAGAAACTGTGATTCTTCCCTTTTTTGCATAAGTAGAAACTGAGGCACAGGGAAGTTAAATAGCATGCCTACTACATAGTCACTCCACTAGTAAGTGGTGGAATCAGAGTTAAGATTGACAGCCAAGAAGAGGTGAGAAACCAGACTGCAATGCAATACAACAAGGCTTTATTTGGGCCTTAGGAATTGCAATCCAGGAGATACATATTCAGCTAAAAGCCAAATTGTGTTCTGAAGCTGGGGTTGGGGGTAGGGGTGTGGTAGTTGGGGCAAGGGTTTTTAAAAGGAAGCTAGGGGTGATTGCACAAGTTGGTTTGAAAGAATTATCGTTGGTAGAGGTAGCCAACTTTGTAAATGAGTCCACAGTTCATTGGTTGTTGCTGTTCTGGAGTTGTAGCACTGGCAAAATTCAGCTGTTTTCTAGGATGGTGTGATCATGGTGGTTTGGCCCAATTCTAAGGTTCAAGGCACAGTCCTGGGTTTTTTTCTAAGTTTGCTGGCTGTGCGAGCAATCCTTCTTAGAATGGCTTAGAATGGCTTCCCAACTCTACTTTAGAACTCTGAAGCAGAGTGATGCCATTTGGTGTTCCACATTTGACATGACACTAGTGGTGCTTCTGTAGGGTCCCTGCTCTTAACCACTACTGCAGGCTGCCTCATGCCTCATGCCATACTGAGGACTCATTCCTCTCTACCAACCGCAAGTGGGTAGCCTGATGAATAGCTAATATGAAAGACTCTGTGTTTCAGCTAGTAGTCTCTAGCATGAACAGGGCCTCCAAACACTGATAACTTTTTCACTGAGGGAGAGAACTGGGGAGTCTTAACAGGGAAGCTCAGATAAATCTCCAGACATTCCATGAATAATTTCTTCAAAGATTCTGTCAGTGCTATATTTTAAGGTGTGCTCAAGTCTTCACATACAACATACTAAAATCAAAATTAATCCAATCTTTCTGATATGGAGTTATAATTACAAATGACCATTAAAAGTATGCTTTAAATATAGAGAAAGAAATACATTAAATAAAACCAAAAAAAGCAATACAACTGAATGCAATCGTTTAGAAGGTATAAGCAATGTGGTTTCTTTAAGAAGATATGTTCAGAATAGCCAGCATGAAGACCATATTGGTTACAAATATAAATAGCTCCCTGAAATGTATAATTATAAATAAATGCAAAGATATAGAATGATAGATCCATAATTACTTAGTAAGAAAGAATAGAATATCCTACTGATATGTCACTAAATTTAAAGTTGACAGCCAGGCAGACAATTATGATTTTCCAAAATATTCTCCTTGCAGCCCTTGCCAGAGACAGCATATGAACTGGCTGAACTGTAGGCACAACACAGGAAGGTAATTCTATACCATGTCACCCTTGCTCTTTAAGAGTTTACAGTCTCTGTGATGAAACTGTGGAGGCAATTTTATACCAAGAAAAGCAGCATGTCTGTAGAACAAAACACATTGGCATATTTGCCATCCACAAATTGGCACCCAAACGTATAACTAGAAAATGTTATCTATGCCACGTATGCTAGACAGTCTCCATTTGCCCATCCAGGTCCACTCTCCAGCCTTCTCCATCCTGTTTTGTGTCCTAAGACTCTCACTTTCATAGACTGCATCAACTGGACTCCCTGGCCCTCCCTGGATTTAGCCAAAACACCAGCAGGAGAGCAAAAGTCAAAGGAGAGACAGTTTGGGGCATTTATTTTCCTGTTTTCCTCCCTGCTGGCCCATCGGTTGACAGTGGCTGTCCACAGCTCCTGTCCAAATGTCCTCTCTTACATCTACAAGTCTCACCAGGTTCTAATAACCACTGCCTCCCTTTCCACTTGTTTCCCACTCTTGCAAGCCCTGGGTGACTCACCACACCTGAATAGTTTTCCTTGAACTTGCTCACACCTTTGTAAACAAGCCATTGTTAAATATCTCTTTAATAACCCTTTTGAGTTTACCATCTGTTTCCTGATTCCCGACTGATACACAGTGATGTCCAAACTTGCTTCATAATCATTTAGAAAACTAGATTTCCAGATCCTACCAAAGACCTAATGAATCAGAATCCCTATACTTGGAGCTAAGGAATATGTAACTTTAACAAACAATCCAGGTGATTCTGACGTGGCCAACCTGGCAAGCATCCCTGGATGAGCATTTGGGAACCACTGCTCTGCAGCTCCTGCTGTGCCAAACTGAAGCATTTGAAAACAAACATGATGGTCCCAGAATACAGCCCCCCAGCTACACTTCCTCAAACACCAGAGCAACCAACACTCAGGAAAAGAAGTGTATTCTCCATGGGGCCATCCAAAGCAGAGGAAAACAAAAATACGGTCTACAGTGATAGGAGATGCTCCTAAGCACATTAAGTAAATGCTCAACTACCCCTTTCACATTTGATTAGATCCTCAATTGAAAATCACTTTCAACCATTTTACGGGAAACGAAATCCATTTTCACCTCCATCTGGTGCCAAAATTAACAAAGTGGAAAATGCTGACCAGCTTAGGCCTTCCCTAATTCAGATTAGAGTGGGCACTAGAGCACCCAGTGCCTTCCAGCCTCGGGTAAACGAGGCCTGTTTGTTCCTGGAGACCATGGACCTTGGGTAGGACCAGCAGATAAACAGAATCAAAAGCCCAACCAGCTCCATTCTCTGAGGATCCACTCTCCATTCAGAAGCCGAAGGCATCAGGAGATGAGCTAAGCTGACCATCTGTTCTTCTCTCCAATAATATGTAATTAAGTAATTTATTTATTCAGCACTTGAACCCCCTCCTCTCTCCTCCCATTAGTCAGGGATGATTATGCCAGACCCAGCTGTAGTTAACATATTGCACACTCAAGCAAGCACTGTGCTACAAAGCACTCTGCTAGCCTCCTGGCCATTGCCACCTCTCAGACCCAACTGCAGGAATGATCACAGGAGGCCTGCCACTCTCTGGCTTTGCTTTCTTCCCCAACGATTAGGCAGCACTCTCTTGCTGCGCATTAAACCATTTACTGTGCATATTTAATTCATTTGTTCAAAGACGAATTTATCCACATCCTCTGATCACTTCCACCAGGGCCAGCTTACTGGCTAGGCAGCACCGATGGATTTGTCCCATCTGGTAAATTTTATCTACAATATAAACAAACACAAATGTACACTGAGCCTGACACATGACTATAGAGCAATGGGATTGAGTCCATAAGCCTCAGGCAAAACTTAGAGTTGAAACTATGATTACATATAGCATTTGTGATGTCTTGCATATTACATGTACTGTTTTGCATATAACATCTGTTATTGTGGCCTGATCAGCAAATATTTCCCTTTATTCTGATAATGACTTTTCAATTTTTTAAAGGAGAACCATCAACTCTTACTCTATGTCTTTGTAGTCTGGATGGGGCTGGCTCTATTCAGGGTTGGATTTATAACCTCGGTAAACCCAATGAATGTACATTCTAGAAATCACTGAAAAAATTGAGCTCTTCCCATTGAGATTCTAAGAAGATGGTATGGCTGCCTGGATCAGCTGGAGATCACGTTGGTTGCCATCTTAGCATTCATGAGCTTGCTGAACAAAATGAATCAAAAAGAACCAGCACTCAGAAATGGAGGGACCAAGTCTTGAATAACCAAGCCATTGTTTGAATATATGGACCCAGCTGAAGCTGTTCCTATCCCAGGACTTCTTTATGATGTGAACCAATACATTTCTATCATTATTTAAGCCACTTATTTTTGACATTTGCAAATAAAAGAATTTTGATTAATATGAGGGCTGTCCAGAAAGTATACAGACATTGTTAATATAACAAGAACATAGTACATGGCTGGATATTTTCCAGACAGCCCTTGTATACCTCCCTTATTTTAAATGAGATAGATTGCTGTAAAAATTTTAATAACCATTCAGGCATGGCATGGATTGGGATAGATTTACTTGAGTTTAGCACATTTTTTATGTAGAGATAGATAGATTATACAAATAGAATGTAAACAACTATAAACCAGACTGCAAAAGGATGTCATATTGTCCTGGTTTGGAGACTGGGGAAGGGGTTGGTCTGGTTTCGGTCAGCTCAGGGGCTTCTATTTTAATAGCTGCACATGTAAGATATAAGACCTTGGACCTATGTGCAGCAGAAAATTGGAAAAGAGACACTCATCTTTAATTCAGGACCCTTTGGGCTGCATTCTCAGTGAATGGTGTTTCATGTGCCCACTGGTACAGGGAAATAACAAGGAGGCTGGTACAGTCCCACATTCTAGGTATGGGTAGTGGGGAAAAGTCTCCCCTAAACACTCTTAACCAGAAGTCTATCTTTCTATGACTTTGGGCTTTATTGTATACTGTCCTTGCAAGGTCCTGTGTTCCTAAGGCAAGAAATTAGCATAAAAAGTGGTCCGGGAGTACCTGGCAAGAGAAAATGAGAAATTTATCTAGATGGAGAAAGATTCAGCACAAACCACACAGGAATCCCATGGATAAAGCCCCACTGAGGATGCACATGCAAGATAAAATTACAAAACTCAAAAGGAAAATCTAGTATTCATGATAAATCAGCAGATAAAATAAACAGGATATATCCCCAAGAACCTTAGATAACAAAAGAGCCAGAGATTTTTTTTAAGTATGCTTAACATAATTAAAAGGGCAATGTATTGGAAACATGCATTTAATTCTGGTTCTTTACAAAGCCCTATTAAAATGATAATAAACCTTCCACCCCTCCACCAAAGCATAAACTCACAAATGCAAAAAAATAAAATAAAATAAGAACAAATAAAATTTTGGAAAATGCAGAGTTGATGGACTAGTGATAATTAACTAGCAGACAAGAAAAAGCTTAATTCTAAAGTAGCAATAAGAAAAGTCAAGAAGCAACAAAACTTACCCCATAGATTGCATCAGATACTCCCACAATCAACAAGTAGGTTCAGAGTATTTAGGACTCCACTGGTCAGTATAAGCAGATGATCCAATGATGAGCTGATATCTGAGAAAGAGGACATGGGTGTCAGACTGGACCTAACTTCCAGCTCTATAATTTCATGCTATATAATTTTAGGCAAGTGACTTAACTTCTTATGACTCAGCTTCTTCATTTGTAAAATTGGAGAAATGATAGCACTGACTTCCAGGGGCTAATGTAAAGATTAAATAAGTTAATATGTTTATACATATTATGGTACTGAGACAAGTGAGAAGCACATAGTAAGTATTCAAGAAATAGTTGCTGCTACAGTCACCATTGTTGTATGAAGAAAATTCTAACATAGAAGAGAGACAAAACAAAGAGGATAAAGCAAATCAGAGGAAATGGAAACTCTAAGGTGACAAATTTAACTTTTAATATTAGAATATCCTCAGAAAGATAAAATATACTGGGTACTGTATACAGAAAAAATGTAATCAAAAGAAAGAATGAAAAATAGGCTTCAAGAAATTTCAAAGAGTACTTCTGGAATGGCAGAAAAGGACATTTGAAAATTGAGTCCTCCATAAAAGCAACAGGAACACCAGCAAAAATTGTCAAAATCATCTTATTTATAACTCTGGAAATTAATCAATAGCACAAAACAATTCAAGAAGTGTTTATTCAAGGAAAATATCTGAATCTCCTAAGGACAATGAGGTTTGTGGTATGGTGTTCTGTCTTGGCCTATTCCTATCACCCTCTGTGCAGCTTTGCATTAGCCTTAGAAAGTTCAAATAGTATATTAAAATATATGTAATTAACACAAAGCTAAACATCAACAGAGAAATAGAAAAATGAAAATGACAAAAGACATGGGTATAAATAACAAACTTACAGACATAATTTGTATGTAGTAATAATTACATTAAATGTAAATGGATTAAATACTCCCATCAAAAGACAGAGAGTAGCAGATAGATTTAAAAACCAACAACAATAAAAACAAATAAAAAGCCATGATCTAACTATATGCTGTCTACAAGAAATGCAGTTTTGATTCAAAGACATAGATAGGTGAAAAGTAAAAGAACAGTAAAAGACACCCACACAAATAGTAACTAGAAGAAGCTGGAATGTCTATATTTATATCAAACAAAATAAACTTTAAGACAAAATTGTCACTAGAGACAGAGAAGATATTTATAAGGTCAAAAGGGTCAATCTATCAGGAAGACATAATAATTATAAATAGATATTCAACTAACAACAAAGCACCAAAATAAATGTATTAATGGTAAAAACTGACATAATTAAAGGGAGAAATATACAATTCCACAAAAATAGTGAAAATTTCAAAACCTCACCTTCAATAATTTATACAACTAAACAAAAGATGAACAAGAAACTAGAAGCATTTAACAGCACTATAAACCAACTAGACTCACCAGAAATCTATAGAACTTTCTATCTAATAGCAGAAAAATATATGTTCTTATCAGGTGCACAGGGAACATTCTCCAAGATAGACCATATGCTAGGTCATAAAGCAAGTTTTAATATGTGTACAAGGATTTATATCCTATAAAATGTCCAACTACAATAAAATAAAATTATAAATCGATGATAGAAAAATTTGAGAAATTCACAAACATGTGGAAATTACACAACAAAGTCCTAAATAACCATTGGGTCAAAAAAGAAATCTCAAGAAAAACTAGAAAATGCATTGATGTGAATGCAAACAAAAACACAAAATACCAAAATTGATAAGATACAGCTAAAGCAGTGCTTAGAGAAAAATTCATAGTTATAAAGGATCATATTAAAAGAGAAGCTAGATCTTAAGTTGACAACCTAATCTACTTTAAAGAACTAGGAAAAAAAGAGCAAACTAAACCCAAAGCAAGCATAAGAAAGGAAATACTAAAAATTAGAATAGGAATAAATGGAATAAATAATAGAAAAACAATAGAGAAAAAGCAATGGAATCAAAAGTTGTGTCTTTAAAAAGATTAACAAAATTGACAAAACTTAGGCTACATTGTCCACAAAACGGGTTGGGGAAGAGAAAGAGAGAAAGGCTCAAATAACTAAAATCAGAATTAAGATACCACTTCATATCCATTAGGGTGGCTATAATTAAAAAGACAATGGGAAATTTTTAAAAGAAAATGGAAACCTTTAAAAGAAATGGGAATATTTCTTTTCAAATCCCACATTTTTTGCAGGATTGTAAAAGTGTGCCACTGTTTTGGAAAACAGTTTGGTATCTCCTCAAAATATTAAACAACGTTACCATATGACTCAGCAATTAATTCTACTTCTATCCAAGAGAAATGAAAAACATATATTGACATAAAAACCAGAACATGGTTGTTTATATTAGCATTATTTCTAATAGCTAGAAAGTGTAAACAACCTAAATTTCCATAATAAATGAATGGATAAACAAATTGTGGTATATTCATACAATGGAATACTATTCAATTATTTTAAAAAATGAAATATGTACACACACTATAAAATGAATAAACCTTGCAAACATGCTAAGTTAAGAGGCTAGTCATATATAAAACATATTGTATGATTGCTGTTGTAGGAAATGTCCAAAAAAAGCAACTTCATATAAATAGAAAGTAGATTATTGGTTGTCAGGGAAGAGAGGACAAGGAGGAAATGTCGCATGACTGCTGATAAATATAGGTTTTCTTATCAGGGTGCAGGCTGATGAAAGTGTTCTGAAATTTGGTGATATTTGTGTAATTCTGTGAATATGCTTAAACTCACATTGTATACATTAAAAGGATAAAATTTGTGGTATGAATTGCATTTCAATAAAGCTGTTAATAAAAAATAAATTATAGCCTTTCCCAAATCAACATCCTTCACTCTGTTTTTTTGCTTAGTAAATCCCTTTCAATAGAATACAGATAAATTTTAAGAAATAAAGGAAAAGAAGAGAGGGGAAGTCAGTCAGAACATAAAAACACAAGTACTGAAAGTAAACTTTGGTTTACCCAAAGTAGAAGAACGCACGTTATGAAAGAAGTAGGCAAGATGCTAAAGGAATCACCAGGCTGGTAGTAAGGGAAGATCACAGGAAAACAGCTATGCAACAGACACAGAGGTCATAGATTGCTCCATATTAGAGCAGGTCAGATGACTCCAGGAGAAATTTCTTCAAAAAGATACCATTTAGACTACCTGTCACATCTGAATACAGTGAAAAAAATACTGAGATAATTGGGAGAAGGTTTAGGATTGAACAAATAGATACACTAAAAAACTAAGCAGCAGGGGAAAAAATAATTATTAACCCCAAGTTGGGAGGGAGGAGAGTCCAAGTAAATAAAAATAATCATAGTACACTTCATGGTTTAATTGTGAATAGTGCTTATGGAGCCACAATAATATAAGCCATTGAATATAAGGATGCCAATCTAACAAATTTCAACTAATTCTACTGGAGGAAAAAATGAGGAAATGGGAAGATGGCTTTTGTATGGTAGGGGAGACAGAGAGCTAAATATCTACTTTCTCTATTTGAAATGTCATAAATAGCACTTGTAATTGAAAAATCAAGAAGTAGCAATAAAAGCATGTTATTTAGAGGATTGATGTTAAATTTCAAAATAACAAGTTAAAAATAATTAAAAGTGGTATCTCTGGGAGGGCCAAATAAGGAGGGAAGAAGAGAGGGAACAAGGCAAACCTAAAAGAAAAAACAAGACACTGCTTCTAAAAGGCAGAGAAATCTGAAAACTCCAGGGACAGAAAATATCCTTGCAGTAGGGGAGTGAGTATATTGGTAAGGAAAAGTAGGGCACGATCATTGAAGAACAGACATTTGAGCCTTAGCAACATCTTAGAAGACATTCTTTCTTCTACACAGAAATCATGGAGGCTCATCAAAGTCATCCAACCAAGGGAGTATTGAATGGAGACATTCACAGGCATTCAAACATTGACAGTGAGGGGCATCACCTCACTACATTGCTTCCTGAAATAGCTGTTAGGAACAGAAATTGCTAGAGCAATGGTAATTCGATTGAACTCTGTACAGATGCAAATATCAAGAAATGGAGCAGAGAGACAGAGTTTGCTATGATTATCTTGCCAACACTTACGACAGAGTGAAACACTCTGGGCTAGTGAACAATACAGGCTGATGACCTGGGTCAGGACAACAATAGTTAAAAAGGACCAAGATCAAGAACAAGAACAAGAGAGTAACCAGCCTGGCTGCCTCTTACGCTAAGCCTCACCAACATACTCATAATGGGAAACTAGTAATCAACACCAAACTACATGTGGTTGCATGTGCATGCTATTCATAATTTCCTCTATGAGAGTGCATGTGCTTGTGTCAATCACTCAGACAATTGTATATAGTTCGGTATACAGCATCAGTGCACTGCTTAATAAATGCTTGTGCTGCTTTCACAAAGTTCCAGGTCAGAACATCATATCAACTAAGGTAAGTAAAATAGAAAGCATCTGTATTCACTCTCCTCATTCCACACTGAGTAGATAGATAAACCCTTCTTATGAAAGTATTATCCATAAATATTTTACATGCTAATAAAAGAGAAAACTCTTAATTACAGTTAGTTCTGTAACTTATTCACAGATAGCACTTTACATCAGTCAGGGTTACAATACAGTCAATCCTCCATATCCACAGGTTCTTCATCCAAGGGTTCAACCATTCATGGATCAAAAATATTCCAAAAACCAAAAAAATAAAAATAAAAATTTTAAAGTACATTATAACAACTATTTGCATAACATTTACATTGTATTAGGTATGATAAGTAATCCAAAGATGATTTAAAGTATTATAGATGGAAGGAGGTGTATAGATTATATGCAGATACTACACCATTTATATAAAGGATTTGAGCATCCACAGATTTTGGTGTCCACCAGGGTCCTGGAATCAATCCCCATTGGATACCAAAAGAAAATGGTACCTACTTGAGGGGAAAGAATTGCAATTCTTTAAAACTATTCTTTAAGGTAACAGCTAAAATCTTGTAGATTGTGGCCTAAATCTGGTCCACAGTAATGTTTTAACTTTACAAGCATTATCAAATTAGTTGCTAAAATATACAAATTGAAAGATTTTGCAACTCCCAGAAAGGTACAAATTTACAAATTCTCTCTCTCTTTTTTTTTTTTGTCTTAATATTGTAACAGTTGGCTGGAAGTAGAGGCTGTCTACTTTGGACAAGGTCTGTAAGCAGGGGCTCTTCTTCACTCAGTGCTCCTAGACCTTCTTCTGTCTGCCTAGCCCCACAGGCATCTTGAGTCTGGGACCTCAGTTCTAATTACAGATGCAGCCCAGCATAATGAAATCAGCTTCAGGCCAGAGAGACGTGTTTAGAACCCTGGATCCAGCTGACTCTACTGATACCGAACAATTTACTATTTAAAGCCTCAGTTTCTCCATTTTTGGCATAATAGGAATAATTTTGTCTTTCTCATAAGACCACTGTGAAGAGTAACAGGAAAAAAATGCATGTATGTCAAACATTTGGCATAAGCACTCAATAAATAACATTCTTCCCTTTCCTTAAGTGAACTCTTGACAAATTCAAACACATTCAACATCTTCAAGCATTTGGCACACTTCTGAGTAACCTTCACATGCAGCACAAGGGGTGATTGAGGACACAAAGTTGCACATAACCCTTGGGATTATAAAAAAGAAGCAGCAGCTAGTGTGGAGGAGAAAACAATATAGAGCATGGTGAATGTTATGGCAGAAGTGAAAACAAATTGCATAGAATACAGTGAGATCACAGGTGATTAGGCAAGTGTCACTGGCTGTGTTTTTAATAAACTTCATGGCACTTTTCCACGTGTTACCAGCCTTTCTTGCCATCACTGATACATAGAGCTGGGAGTGGGGATGGTAGGAACTAAAGTGAGGGCTACACTTAAGGAACTAAAAAATCAGCAGCCTTCACAGATCCACTTGCTGTACATCCAGCCATGTTTTCTCTACAAAGAGAAACAGCAGCTCCTGCTGCTGTTTTAAGACAGGATGTCATATCTAGCTGCGGAATAACATTTAGAAGACTCAACTTTAGATCTGAGTATACATGGGGGGAGGGAGAAGGAGGCCAATTTCTAAGAACAATCTTTCTTGTCTGGTGGGACTCACGCTTCATCTCAAACACAAATGTGCTATTAAGTGAATCTAAAATAACTGATACAAATCTCTCCACTGAGCCACTGGGAAATTCCAACCTTTATAAGTTAGGAAGTGCTAAACCAGCAACCTTTTAGAAAAGAGTATCTATCTTTTTGAGCTGTTTCTGGGGAATTGCATATAAAGCATTCTGAAAACAAAAATACTTCCCTATTTTTCCAGGATCTGTTTTGCCAGCTTGATACGAAGCTGCTCAGGACAGATATTGTCAGGGCTCGAAGTGTTTTCAGAATTATATTCACAGTTCAAATGTTTTCCAATATGGTGTTTGAACATCAAAATCAAAACAGCCCTTGAGGAGATAGGGGGGAAAAAGCATTCCCTAATTTTTTAGTGCCTATAAAATGTCTAAAGGAATTTATTTTCTCTACCAACACTCCTATCATTTAATAATTTGACAGTCTTTTCTGAAAAATGTCTCTAGGAGATTTACATTTAGAAAAACTAGGCACAACATTTTGATTGACCACAGTAGGCTACAAAGTGACATATTCTGATTGATTTTAGACAGGAAAGAAAAACTGTATGCTAAATGTTTCTGTCTTCTTATGGATCAGAAGAGTAATGATTGGTCAGGTCCCAGGGGTTTCAGAAATGGTTAAGTGCCCAAGCCTCATTTTCTAGTTAATTCTGTGAGTCATTCTTCTGATGATTAATTCAGCTTTGCAAAAAGCCACTCTTGTGGCAACTAACTTGGAATAAGAAGTCAATGACAAAATCTAAACTTAATTCACTGGGCTTATATTTCGACAAAACTGTCAAAAAACTAAATTTAAACCAAAAAAGTAAAATTGTACATATGAGAAATCCAAGAAAGACTATTAAAGAGAACTTAAGAATGTTTGGAGTATATTTCTAAATTTGGGGGGCTGTTATGGACTGAATGTTTGTCTCATCACCCCCCCAAATGTATATATTGAAGCCCTAACTCCCATTGTGATAGTATTTGAAGATTGGGCCGTTGGGAGGTGATCAGGACTAGATGAGGTCATGAGGATAGAGCCCTCATGATGGGATGAGTTTCTTTACAAGAAGGGACACCAGATGATTTGCTCAAACTCACTCACTCTCTCTCTTCCTGTCTCTCTCTCTCCCCATGTCCAGATGAAAGTCCATATGAACACACAGTGAGAAGGCAACCATCTATGAGCTAGGAAGAGAGCACACTACACCAGAACTTGACCATACTGACACCCTGATGTCAGACTTCCAGCCTCCAAAACTATGAGAAAATAAATTTCTATTGTTTAAGCCACCCAGTCTATGGTATTTTTTATGGCAATCCGAGCTAACACAGAGGCCCTATCCTAGAAGAATGTGTAATGCTCCAACAAACATCCCTTATCAGACATTTTTTGAGGTACACCTGGGTCCACATCCCTACTGCTGACACTGACTCTCTCCACCCACTGGTTATTGATGGGACACGCTTCCCTGCTCATATCTCACTGGCCTACAGGTAGATACCTGGCCAGTCATGCTGCACTAAACCATGCTGGAGTCTCAGATAAAAGGAAAAATCAATAATAATAATCCTGTGGCTTAAAATTTTATATTTTGTTCATCATGGAATTGTTTGCATGAATTTGATTTTTTTAAATATTGTGTTGATGTATTATTTATCCAGATTATTGATATTTTCAGGCATCCTCTTAAATTTTGCACCTGAAACAAGGGCTTTACTTGTTTCTCTCTAGTCCCAGCCCTGCTGATGAAGCTTGGTATACCCTGAATTTGGGAAATGGTCTGAGAAAAACTTTCCAAGGGATCTTAGAAACTGGCAACCTCAATACTACATTTGGCCTGCAGACTGTAGCTATGATTGGTTTTCCCATTAATATTGTTTAATTTCAATGCTTTCAAGCAAGAAATACACTCCGCATATTGCCACTGCCCCATCACTCCATGTTATTAATCATTTCAATGTGGCCCAGATCCTGAAGGCCTCTAGGCTGACTCTGGCCTAGTAGCTGGGACTTGTCACTGAGCTTGAGAATGTACAATCTAGGGCCCTATGAGGTTACCATATTCTGTACATGCATAAAAATGTAGAAAAAGCCCAAAATGCAGAAAGAAAAATGAAGTGGATGTGCAAAAAGGAGCAAAAAGAGAAACCAAGAGATCCCCCAAAAAAGATATAAAGAATACAAGCTTGACTGTGCCAATTTTGAACTTCCTGTTCCAGTCACCCTAGGGCAGCTCTAACTCTACCTTTAGTTTGGGCTAGGGCTTCTGTTACCTGAAAACTAGCAATCCTGAACCAAGTCTCCTAATGAGGAAGAAACTATTGTCCTTTCCTACCATTTACAGTAAAATGAGTAGATAAACAATTTACCGGGTGAATTATGTCCTTGAATACAGAGCCTCTGATTTATGAAAATGGCAGCCATTTGAAGGTAGGAATGATCTTTCACCCTGGAGTCTTTGCTGTGTAGTGTGTAACCCCTTCTGCGTCTCAAACATAGTTTTAACACTTAAAAACTGACGGCAGAAAGGCTGGATGAAGACAGCCTCCAGGAGCTATAAAGAATGCTACCCAGGCCCATGCTGTGAATTGCTGTTGTTATAATTATTCTGAATCAATTTTAATCAGGAAACAACATATCCATTTAAATAAAATAAAAATAAAAGCACCAGGAGGAAAAACAAAGTTTGATTCCAAGAAAAACTGAAGACTTCAACCTTTACAAAGAAAATATAATTCTGCCAAAAATGTAGTACATTTCATATTTAATTTTGCTCTGATTTATGACTAAATCTCCTGGGTACCAATGGTATATAAAAAAGCATTAACTCTGTGGAGGCAATTGTTAGTTTTTATAATAAAAAATGCAGACTGTTTATACCATTATTGCTTAGGAAATTAGGGAACACAGCTTCTAATACCCTGTGTGTGGAACACTGTAGCAAACCACTTAACTTGCAATAATAGAGTATTGACTGGGTACAGTGATATGTGAGACACAGCCACAGTCAGATTACACTACCATCACACTGTGCTCAATAGAGCCTCGCTTATAATATATGTATTCCACCTTAGCTGAAGAATTTCAAACAGATTAGCTATGAAAAGGCCCTAAGAGGCTCTACCTATAAATATATATATATATAATTTTCCTCTTGTCACTTTGTTTTTAAATACTTAGTTAAAATGTTGATTTATTTTCTTCTCCTATCTACAAAATCTTTAGGACTTTGTAATACTGAGCCTTTGACATAGCTATATCTGAATTAAGAAGAGGTGTTTCTGTGGCTAATTTTATATTTACCAAAGGTAACCACCATCCAAAAAGCTTGGGTTATCATTTGCAGGTCTTGAAAGTATAACAGAACAAATCTAAGAGCTTTAAAATGCCTTTCAGGTGAGCTATACTAGCCCAGTGGTGTTAAAAGCATATAAATGCATAGGCTATTTCAGAATGCAGGCTGCAATTGGCCTCTCTCTCTCTCTCTCTCTCTCTCTCTCTCTCTCTCTCTCTCTCTCTCTTTCTCTCTCTCTCACACACACACACACATACACCCCACATATACTAACTTCCACATAGACTTTTCATTATTCCCCACTTAATCTACTGAGCCAATCCTGTGTATTACACAGTGATAGGATATGATAAGATATTTTCTGCTCTCTGTCACTACTGTATAATGGACATTGGAACATTTAGTCTGAAACCTTTCCTTTGCATCCCAAAGCTGAAACCTATAAAAATCATGGACAGATCCTAAGCAATTGTGCCAGATGAGTCTAAATAACAAGAGAGAAAAGACTGCACCCTGGAAAATGTAACCAAATTATAGACCAAAAGAGAAAAAGCCTCAGTAAACTTAAAAAGACTGTCACACCCTCAAAACATTCCCTCTGTTTTACCACTATTGGCTTTATTCCATTGACTTCAGGCTTATCCATCTACAATAATTATAAAAATATAACTCTTTGGAATACATTGTTGAGGGACATCTCTTCATGAGGCTCTCACATTTCTGCAAGACTTCTGAGCATAGGAATTTACAGTTTTTTCTGAACTACCTTATCAAGGATGTTTGAATAGCCAACAGCCTTGGAAGATAGAGATAGTGTCTTCCTCTGGGGCAAAGGGCAGATTTGTTTCCTGACCAGTTTAAATGAGATAATGTCTCCCTCCAAGGTAAAGGTTGGTCAGGTTTTGTTAAGAACCCGTTTTAAAAACTGAGGTTTCCTGAGCTTGGGATTCCTCAACTGTGACACAAACCCACTGCATGTGCAGCATTCACCAAGGTCCTCCTCTTCATCATCCTATTGGACTTGGGGAACAGGGGGAACCAATTCAAACATGAACCCTATGCCGCCTGCTAAGCTGCGAATAATGACGTCTTTTGTCTCTGATCCAGGAATCTCATGTCGTCCAGCCAGGACTTATTAGCCTGCAACAGGATAAATTTCAGACCTTCACAGTTCTGCACACTCACCAGACTTAATGAATCAACATATAACTTGAATATAACCAACTCTTCCCTCATAAAAATAAAAATTGTTTGGCTCCTGAATTTCACTCGTTCTAGGGGACACTTTAAAAAAAATCCTCAGACATGCCCATGAACCAATGTGTCAGCAATAGTCGTCACACAAAACTACCATGTTCTCCCTCTCCTCCTCTACCTGCTTCCATAAGTGTTTTCAACCTCCCTCCAGCAGCTGTGGATCACATCTGTCCTGTGACTGCCACTGTCCACACAAGAGCATGGTCTCCAGATAATCCTTCAAGATGCCAATTCCAAAGGTGCCAAAACTGCTTAGAGAATTCCTCCTCTTCAATTCTGTGTGATACTCTCACACCTAGGCCCTGATGCACCAATGGTAAGACACAGAGTCCCTAAAGCTTCTTATTAAAAAAATAAAAATTAAAACCCCACAATTTCTGACCACTGCCCCATTAACAAATGAACACAAACTCATTTCATTGTACAAGGCAAAGAAAGACAAAGTAACATCGTTATTCTTTTCTCTCATTCTCCTCATATCTTGCTTTTTGTAACCAAAATTCAATTCAAACTAAACCCCCCAAAAACTCAAACTAAACTCCAACTGAAACTAAAAATCCAAAGCTCTTTTATCAAAGGATATGGGCAGATTCTGGGTAAGTGCCTGCACCCTCTTTCATCCTACTAATGATCCTATTACAAACCCTGCTAGTTTATACTAATGTCTGCCAACCAAGGAGCAGAGAACTATACCAAAGAAAATGGAACACAAGCTGAATAAATACTGAAGAAAAAAAAAAAAAAAAAACAGAGAGAGAGAGGGGAAAAAAAGACATAAATAAATGGCTTGGACTTTAAAGCCATGTGAACTATGTATGTTGGCATTAAACAAGTTCCTGGCAGAAAGGACAAGGTTGTCAGGCCCATCATCTTCACCCTTGAATACTTCTATCCAGGGCAAAAGTTCTTTGCACATGTCCCCCAGACTTTGAAGCTGGTCATGTTTTTATCTAGGTAGCAATGCTCATTTGTATATTCAAATATGCTAACTGGTAATTATGAAAAGCAGTACATGCAAAACATGGGTGGACTAGATTAACTGCTCAACATGAAGCAAACTGAAAACTGAGTTCTGCTATCCTTCATTTTTCTGCCTTTATCCTCCAAAAAAGGAAGAAAATGTAGGCTTGCAAGGGAACAAGAAAACCATCTGGATCACAATGCCTCCCAAATTTCACATTCAATCCTGCCATCCAAACAGGGATTTAGAAGCGCTTTTCCTAAACCAATAACTGAATGGTGCTTGCCAATTTCTCCCTGCACTTGGCTTTTCTTAACAAGCTATTCCATTGCCTTTATTCCTTTTGTCCTTTATAATGAGAATAAGAGAAACTAGATGAATTGTATACAATCACTGAGGATATCATGGGGGTAAAAGCTGTGTAATGAACTGTTAATAAAAAAAGTGGCTTTTCAAGTCACAGGGCTTTCTGAAAAATCCACAAATTTAAAAAATAACATCTAGAAAGCTGACAGTTTTATAAATTGATCCATAAAACAGTAATGCTCAAAATTTTTTACTAGCCTAGATATTGGTTAGTTTTACACAGAAATGACCCAAGTAGCAAGGCTCATATTTCTATAAAGAAAGTAATAAATACATAAAACATAGCCAGGACTAATTTTTGCAGAAAAAATGGAAGTACTAAGTTACTTTCAGAGAGAAATAAACCGACATCTAACTCACTTAGCAGTGGTTTCCTTTAC